AAGAATTGACAAAAAAAGATTGAAAGATGAGCTGACAAACTAATACAAGAATCAATTTTCAGAACATGTTTGTACAGATCTAAGCTGCAGGGTTAGAGATATTTATGCAGGATAAATCAGGATATTTTGTTGTTTGTGGGGGAAATCATGGTACTTTGAAAACTGCCCGAGAACGAGACAAGACAAGATTTTGACATTCTTTATAATAAACAGATTGTGCGGTCCAGTTCCCAATTTTGGTGTCACCATTTTTGATTTACTTTATTTTATACTTCTGCTGTCATTGTAGCACTACTTTTTGGGACTAGAGCTTCTCAAAAAATGTAAATCACCAGCACTTAACTAATTTTTGTAATCCAATACAAACGTAAAAACAAGGAAAAGATCATTTTCAGCATATGTCCACAATTTTGTGGTAATTTTGACTCTCGAAATCTTGTGGCATGAGATCTTCTCCCATCCCTATTAACTGTGTCCACTCAAATCACAATTTCGATTTGACTGCGATTAATACTGCAGTCCTACTTACTATAATGAGCGAGTAAGTGACTATAGTACCCAAATGATTCCCAATTGAATCAAAATGACAATTCTAACAGGCAAAATGATCTAGAATCTCAACAAACGTGTTCTGAAATGCACTAGCTTCTTCTATTAGTTTAGTAGTTCATATTTGAGTCTTCTTTTAAAGGTTATTGCTCCTTGATAGTTTTTTTTTATGTGCATGAGAAATCCTGATATAAAAAAATAAATTCCAAACCTAATTGCAATTTTTCAAACACTGCGCACCCCGAACACTTTCTACTATAATGATTCTACCTCTCTCCTACTAAATTACTGCTACTATTATGACAACGAACTACAGCAGTGTATTCACAACAATTTTAGTTCAGTGATTGAGGCCTGTAAAGCAACGCTGTGTAATAATATCACCATCAACAAATCTCTTTCAAATCAATAAATAGCTGAAAATATCAACAGAATATCTGCTTTAACGAACGTTATTTTCATCAAACCTTTACAGAACGTGAAAGCTCAAACTCACAAAATGAACTCTGTGAAGGAAGCTGAAGTCGTTTCACATCAGACTGAGATAACCAGCTAATGGGATTCGTCCTGGCAGCAGACAATCTGGCATCAAGTTTGTTTTTTCCAATGCCCTGGTGTCGTTCAAATCAAGCTTTGTGATTTTACCGGACAAACCAACTCACAAATTACTGTTATTATCGTTATTTTTTACAAAGACAACATAGAACATTTATCTTACTCAAATTCTGATATACAAAGGTGAACTATGTAACTTTTCTACTTGTCTCCATGGAGATGTTATTGCTATGCCTGTAATGTTCAGCGGTATGGCATTACACATAACCATTTTCAAGGTGATAAATGGGTGACTCCACCGGGGTAAGTTACAGCTCAGATCTGTGCAGAGGCGACCTAGTAAGAATTCATGTTTTTCAAGGAATTTTTAGGAATAAAAAATGTCAATGCCATGCTGTGGAACATTCCAGGCAAAGCAATATCATCTCCAATTCTCCATGGAGACAATCAGGTGTGGACCAACATCCACAAAAGTTACACAATGCACCTTTAAAACCTTGACTGCTTTGAAGAAATGCTCTGAAAATTTAAATAATTAGTTTGAATAATTACTATATAGACTTATCGTTCAATATGGATGGAACAATAATTTTCAGGAATCAATATTTATTTTTTTATTATTATTATTTAATTTAAATTTTTTCTTTGTACTAGTGGGAATTTTTGTTTATTATTATTTTTTATTTTTTTGCAATATGATTGAATCTGAGCTGTAGAAGGTTGAATTATGATACCAACACTGGATAAATGGTTTGAGATTGTTTATAATATTTTTAAGATGGAGAGAATTACTTTTAGTATAAGACTGCAACAAGACAAATTTAAAAGCAAATGGAAACAGTGGATTGAATATATAAATACTGTAAGACCAGACTTTGTTTGACCCATTACTTCAGATTTCTTGCAATTGGCTGTAATAATTATTCATTATTATTATTTATTTTTCTTTTTTTTCTTTTAATTAATTCATCCTTTGTAAGCATCACACATCCATATGTTGTATTGTATTTGTCTTTTTCATACAACTTTAAAAAAGAAAACTAAAGAATTACACACAAAAAAAGAAGGTTGAATTATGAAGTAAAACCATACAGTCTAATTACTAAAGTGTCCTTCTACTTATTTATTGCAGCTCATTTTCAGCTCTTTTTAACAATATTGTACATTTAGAATACTTTTTGTGGCCAATTCTGCTTTATGGTTTGCTTTCATTATCATTTATCATCTATATTTACTTCAACATGTGTTATCGTGACAGGCCTCTATCTATGTAGACTGTATTCCTTGGTTTCATTCATTCGTAATTATCGACTATCTGTTTTTCTTCTCCACAAAGATTGCACAGGCTGAACTGATGCTAAAAACGGAAGGTCAGCGGATGACAGTGTAATGAATAGGAGAAATAGTGGCTCTTTCCTGCAGCTGTGAATCCATAGAGTCTCATCCCTCCATCACTGGCCTCCTCGTGCTGATGTCATCTATTAAAGGGACAAGGCCCGTACACGCCTTCACTGTTTTCCAATGACTTCAGTCGTGCTCATAGGTTTGGAGTGCAATGTTAGAGGTGCACTGTGTAAATATTCTGGCGGAGGGGCCCGTCAAATGCTTGTTTCCATGGAGATGTTATTGGGTCGTATGGTATTAAAATTTTCTGTCTTCATGGAGACATAACCAGGCAAGTTACAGGTCAGATCTGTGGAGAAGCAACCCAGCTCACAGTCAGAATACCTGTTTTGTAAAGTGTTTTTGAGCTATAAAACCGTTTGTAATTTAATAAATGTAACGTAGAGCTGTTTAATGTCACACTGTGGGATATTCACAGGCAGAGCAGCAACATCCATAGAAACAAACAGATGACAGACTCCCAACAAAAAAGTTACACAGTGTACCTTTAAGATACCAAATTAAGTTGTATGGTTAAGTAATAAAAATCAGATACTAATCAATACTAAAACTGGTATCGAAACTAGACTTGAGCAGGTATTGATACTAAAAAAGTCACATTCACAGGACAGAAATGAACCTTTCCTGAATGTCTTTAGAATGATCTTGAGCTGTATCAGAATAAGTATATACTAGTATACACCCTTGGACCACTATGGAACCTACCTGGACCACTGAGGGATTACAAAGCTATAAGACCATGTGGCAATAAAAAAATAATAATAATAAAATAAGAAGAAAGAGAACTATGATTTAATGTTAAAAATCACATTCTATTGTTTAAAGAAAAAAGTGTTTTCATTAACATTGTGATATCAGAATCAGTACTGAGCATCAAGTCAATAATCAGCATCTGAAATCGACACTACTACGTATCAGAGTACAACCTTAACACTATAGATACTAGGGGTATGCATTGCCTTGAGTCTGATGATACGATACATATCATGATTCCCATGTCACAATTCAATATATCACGATATATCCCGATACTAAAACAATGGATGATACATTGCGATTTATCAGTAATTACTTCTAATAATACAGTCAACTACACCTTCAAGAGAAGGTGTTTATACAATTGTATGAAATATAATTCATAAACTTTTTAAAATCATGAGAACTGTGAATGTAACTAATGAATTTTTGTGAAAAGTATTATTTTAAAAATCGATTCAGATCCATTTTGAATCGATTCGAGAATTGTGCCATGAAGTACCACGATATATCACTGAATCGATTTTTTCTTACAAACAACATACAGATATGTGATCAGATATGAATGCAGCAACTTGTACATTTCATATATAGTCAAGTGTAACTGTGTTTTTACGTGCATTGTTCAACTATAATTTATATATGAGCCAGATGTCAATGACCCAATAAATATGTTTCCTATTTTTCCGCCATTTTACTTGTAGTTATAAATGTAGAAGCACAAACTTGTACAGATATAGATAATCACATAGGACCTACGCAAATCAGATATGAAAGCTAAGTATGGTAGTCAAGCCATGTTCATATATATAAGTTCATATATAGTCAAGTGTAACTGTGTTTTAAAGGTCCTATATTACACAAAATTGACTCTTGTGAGCTTTAAGCCACGTTTGAATATTGTTACCTCCTCAAAAACATACCTGGAGTTGCTTTTTGTTTCATTCACACATGTTTGAGTAACCCTTTATTTATTAGTCTGTCTACATATTCAATGCTTAGTTCCAATTTGTGATGTCATGAAGTAGTAGTTTTCAAGTTAACAGCTCATTTTACCTTTAGTTCAGTGCATGTTTGCAATTCCAGGGCTGAAATTATCCAAATGATTCCAGTGAAGGTGTGTGGAGTTTAAAAACATACTGAAGCACTTCCTGTGTTACTACATGACATCACAAGATGGAACAGAGTGTTTTCTGTTCTACAAATCTTCTCAGATAACTATGCAGGGTTTGTGTGTTAAACATGTGTGAATGAAACAAAACACAACTCCAGGTCTGTTTGTGATGAGGAAACAAAATTACAACATAGACCAAAAAACAGTGTAATATGGGGCCTTTAAGTGCATTGTCCCAACTATAATTTATATGTGAGCCAGCTGGCACATAAGCCTTCCTGAACAACAAATCCAAATAATCCTTTGGGAAGGAAGCGGGCAGAGGAGGTAGGATAGTTGGGGGTGGTGTAGGGAGACAGCTTTAAGAGGTACAGTTCAATTGGCTTGGCTGTTGTAGCCCTGCTCTGGGGGGAGACATCAAGTGACCAGCCGGGCCCTATTTTCTCCATTCCTCCATTCAGCACACTACGCAAGTCCCCAGAATGAAACCACTCAGAATAGCAATACGATTTATGACACTGCAAGTCCCACATGTGCATAGACATATAGTAAGAACCCTTAAAGCGAGAACACCGGATTATGCTGAAATAGTACAAAAAAAGGACATATTTGACCATCTTACCTTCCATCATGGTGGCAGATTTTCATTCCTCTATCTCCAAGGAGCCTGGAATCAAAGCAAGGTTGTACGAAGAAGGGGGTGCCGAGCCAAAAAAAACAAAATAAAAATACAAAAAAATGTATTTCTAGGGCTGGTGATTGTAGTAGAGCGGGAGCGTAGCTAACGCCCTGGCTAGCTGTGATCCTTTGACACCCCAGACGCTGCCTGTCAACCGGCTCGGGGGAGAGCAGAAGAGATCCGAACGGAGAGAGAGGAGGGGGGAGAAAAGAGAGGGGGGTTAGGGCACGCCAGTCCACGGATGTAGCTTTCCAGTGATGTCCAGACAAATCCAAAGGCGCGTTTAAGCCAAAGACGATGCCGCCGCCGAGACCGCTGCTTCTGCTGCTGCGGATCCCGGGTCCATATTCAGCCGAGGATGCTGAGAGGTGCGGGGGGTGGGGTCTGCGTGAGAGAGGAGAGGAAATAAATAAATAAAAAAAGGCACAGGCTGAGAGGAGAGGAGAGGAGAGCGGGAGGAGGAGGGGTAGAGCGGCTAGAAAGAGGAGGGGGGGGGCGGAGGCTTTCTGGTGACGTCACAAGGGGGCTTAGCCAATCGGAGCGGACCGGGGCAGAGTCACATGGCTTACAGCTTGAATCTCCTAACACCACAATTGCCTGGGAGACATTAGACAGAAGCACGTTCACATTGGCAAATATTTGTGCATATTTACACAGATTTGCAACACAATTCACGCTCAAATAATTAGTTAGAGAGACAGTTTAAGCGCATGAACAAGCAAATTTGTAAAACTACCACTGAGATTTTCATGAACCTACCTTATGTCAGTGCAAAGAGGGGTTAGGAATGAGCTATGACAGCAATAAATCCCGCTTTGAAGCTTGCATGCAGCGCTGAAGAGCCATTCTGAAAGCACAAGCCAGTACTGGTGGGTTAAGTAAGTGCTGTGTCCTGTTCTGTAGTGACTGCTGCCTTGCTAAGCCCCGCCCCCTCTTCCTTAGCCACGCCCCCGGCTCCTCCTCCCCTGCCACTGTTTTCACTCTGCACCCACGGCAGACACGGGGCCATGGGTGCTGCTGTGACGTCATGGCAACGCAGGCTAAAACGGCACCCGGCCAGTGCGCAGGCAGGCAGGCAGGGTGAGGGAGGGAGACAGACCAGCCCCCGACACACAGCAGTTACACGGGCAAAACAAAGCAATGAGAGGAATAGTAATGAGGCTGAGTGACCAAAACAACAACTATTGAGAGGAATGAACTAAATAAATAAATGTGGATTTGGATGGGAAATATTTGATTTAAATCGGCAAGAAATTACTTTAAATGTGCGTTGTGTAACATGCGATGGAGGGTCCGACAAATGTTTTTCTCCATGAAGATGTTATTGCTTTGTCTGGAATGTTTCACAGTATGGCATTAAACCTCTTCGTCATGGAGACCAAAAAAGACCAAGTTACAGGTCAGATCTATGGAGTGGCGACCCTGCTCATAGTCAGAATCCCTGTTTTTCTAAGTATTTTTGAGCTATAAAACCACCTGTAATTGAATAAATGTGAAGCAGATCTGTTTAATGTCATACTGTGGAACATTCCAGGCAGAGCAATGAGTTACAACTTCAGCTTTTGACAAATAACAGTCTGTATTGTCTGTATAACATGCTACATTTAATATTTTCTGATTTCGTTAAGGTTTTAACACAAAAAGCTTATTTAAATTTTGAACTGTCAATCAAGTCGACTTGGAAAAGCCACATTTTTAATAACTTTAAACAAATAAGCTGTGGTTATGGCACTATTCCAACACTTGAAATCTTACATCGCTTCAGTGTTTTGATTCTGAGCTGTTAAAAATATCTTCTCTATTTCACATGGTGCAGAATATGTGAGAAGAATTAGGCCTATTGACCTGTCCAGGGTGTGGAGACTAACTAACTAACTGAAACTATAAACAAGTGGGTGTTAGTTTCAGTTAGTTAGCTCCTCCCTACAGACAGATATAAAGAAGTGTCCACCAGCATTCTGACCAGAACTGAAGAAGCAGCTTGGATGAGCTGCAAAACGTCTTCAACCAACTAACTTTTGTCCAGTCGACAAACTGAATTTTGTCATTGCTATGGTGCAGAATACTTGAAAATACAAACTATTATGATGATGATTATTATTATTAGTATTAACAAAACCAAAAGCCAAAAAGTTTTCAGTTTGCATAAATTAATAAAGCTTGGAAAAGTAAAAGTTATAACTATAATTGTACTCTTGAATTGTTGAAATTATTTGGATTGAAAAGTTTCGCCTCACATTACGAAATAGTGTGATATTAGTGCGATTCACATTCATCTACATTCACAACCAGTTAAAAGTCAAAAGTTTGGATGCTACTTTTTCATTTATGGTTCTTCTTTATTTCTATGATTATTTACATTATAGATTCTCCCTGAAGGCATCGAAACTACGAATGAGGCATATGAAAAATAACAAACAAAAAATAGGCTAAAAAAAAAAAAAGTAAAGGTGGTTGCTTTTGCTTTGACCACTGATTTGCACATTTGGCATTTTTTGACCCAGAAAAGGCTCAGCTGTGAAGTGAAAACCAGTTCAGGAGGCTTCATCGAGAAGCTCACAGAGAGAGGGCCAGCGCTGTCGACAAAGCAAAGGGTGGATACTTTGAGAAATTTGAAAAACATTAAAAATATTGAGCAGAGTCATTTCACTTTTTTCTAGTGCTGCATACTGGTAATTCTATTCTTCTTCTATTGGATTTCTTCTGTATGTATAAAAAATGTAGAAAGAAAAAAAACATTGAATTAAGAGGATGTGTCCAAACTTTTGACAGGTAGTGTATGTGAAATAGACTATGCTCCTCAGTGCTTATATTCACAAAACCAGTACGAGATAGTTTGTGGAGCTGCCTTGCAAGCAAACTAAATCAATCAATTGACAAAATAAAGGGTTTGAGTCCTTACGGAGAACTGGTCTGTTTAAAGGTTACATTTTGTGAGCTTTAGCCCATGTTAGAATGTTGTTACCTCCTCAAAACAAACATGGAGTTGTGTTTCGTTTCATTCACACATGTTTGAGTAAAGCTTTTATTTTTAGTCTGTTTAAGGTGTACGGAGTTTAAAAACACAGTGGAGCACTTCTGTATTACCAAGGTGAGGAAAGGCAAGTTTATATGTATAGCACAGGGGTGGGCAGTTCTTTTTTCCATGGGGCCACATGAGAAACAGAAAATATTGTGGAGGCCAGGCCTAAATGTTTAACTTAATCCTGCATAAAATTAATTGCATTTCTTTATAGCATTGTTTTGACAAGCTGGTAAGACTGTGTACGTTATGTTTAAGAATTTTTTTTAAATGTGGTTGTCTTACAAAAAATGCCATTTAAAAGAACACCTCTAAAATAAAAGCAATGCAGCTTTAGTCCATACATGAGGTAAAATGATAAACTATGTATGATGTAACAATACCCGAAATATTGTGATATCGTATCATCAAAAATCTCACAATAATATCGAGAGCTGTCACAATATATCAAATTATAAGTTCCTTTGCTTAAATGATTTTATAGTAGCAACAGCTTATAAGGGAACTACATATCCCATGATTCATTTCAGTGTAGACAACATGAAGAAATATGTTTTTTACTTGAATTCTTGGGATTATCACAGTAATAATTTGCACCAAAATCTAGTCAAGATATTTTAAAAGCAAAAAAGTGTCCTATCTATAATTATATTTGCCACTCCAAAATATCGCAATAAATATCGTACTGTGAGTAGCATATCGTGATAATATCTTACCGAGAGATTTGGATACCATTATGTGTCATGGTTCATGTTTGTAGTGGTTGTATTTGCTCATTTTGGTGTATTATTTTGACATTTGTCGTGTCTGCTTGTAGTTTTGAGTTTTACTTCTTGTCTTGATTGTTTGCCCCGCATCTGTGTGCATTTATACCCTGTGTTCTCCTCTGCCCTTTGTTGGTCCATTGTCTCCGCCAGAGTTTCATCTTGTCTCGTGTTATGGCAGTTTAGTTTCGAGTTTTGGATTTTTTGGATTTATGGATTTGTTATTAAATACTTTAAAGCAGTCCTGCATTTTGGGTCTTCCCTCTGTTTCTACGTGACATTATGTCCCTAATAAAATACGTTTATTTTGTTATTCCATAGCATTTTAAACTGGACGGTCAGAGTTAACCAAGGGGCCGTATGTGTCCCGGGAACTGTACAATGCCCAAGTCTGGCACAAGTTGAACAAAGTAATTCAAAGTGCCTTACAGAATAAGAAAGACATTAAAATACAAACAAATCAAAATATAAATAATCATGATAAAATGAACATTAAAAGAGAAGAAAGATGAGAGAAGAGAGAGTCCACATGACGTCACAAAATGGAACAGTGTTTTCCGTTTTCTGAAATAAAAACACATCCTTAATATGGAGGGTTAGTGAGTTAAAATGAAATGAAATAAAACACAACTCCAGGTCTGTTTGTGATGAGGAAGCAGCATTACAACATAGACCAGAAAACAGCGTAATAGGACCCTTTAAATCACCCATGCACTGAACATACTGAAAGTGTGGGAACATTGCTTTCTTAATGTGTTTTTCATGCTTAAAACCAGACAGTTGTTCCTGCTCGGCGCACTATGTCTCCCTTTGACTCCCGTTAACGCCCGTGCAATGGTGACTCCCTCTTAAATCATTTCTTCATTTATCACCTGATCTTTAGTGCGGTGTTTGTGAGTCCATGTGGCTGCTCTGTCACTGGCCTCCTCCCTCTTTTCATGCTTCTATCGCTCCCACTCCCACACTTACACTCTGCAGATGCTCCCCCAAAAAAAAAAAAAAAAAAAAAAAAAAGGTCCCCGCTGGCACCCTCCTCCTCTGCCCGCCCCGCTCCCATAAGCCCCCTGATTTGACTGCTGTATGACCCCCCCCCCTCCCTCCCTCCCTCCTTCCTCCCCCCCAGGCCTCTTTCATCTCTCACGCATCTCGGAGTGCGTTTCAATGTGCTCCACCTGCTCACTGCCAGGAGCGGAAAAAACTTAGCAAATACTCACGTTACTGTCATTTTGTAGATTTTTAAAGGCTCCATATTACGCTGTTATATGATATATGTTATACTACTGGTTCCTCATCAAAAACATAGCAGGAGTTGTGTGACATCATGTTGTTAGGATGTGCTCCACTCAGCTCCATACACCTTCACTAGAATCATTTGGATAATATTAGCCTTGGAATTGCCAATCTTGACTGAAATAAAGGTAAAAGGTTGTTATTAACTTGAAAATGACAACTACATGACTTCACAAGGTGGAAATAGAGAGCATTTTAAGCTTTGGAGATGTAGACAACCCAATAATACATGTGTGAATGATACACAATACAACTCCAGGTATGTTTTTGATGAGGTAACAGCATTATAACATGTCTGAAAGCTCAATTTTGTGTAGAATATAAGTCTTTTAACTCCTGCAATCTTCCAAACTGAACCTGTACTGCCCTCTAGTGTTCACTGCTCACGCTGCAGCCATCAGGTCACAAAGTGTTCATGTAAATAAATAAGGCATAAATCAAAACGAAGAAATACAAACTGCAAAAACTGAAAATATTTAAACTTTTGCACGTTTATTTTAGGCCTACAAGTTGCAGCAGAACTAGGCCTATCAGTATGGATGCTTCGGCTAAAAACAAAACTAAATAAAATAGCTACGCATTTTTATCGTTTGGTGTCAAGACACAAATACGTGCAAATGATAATGATTGGTGTATAGATAAAACTAAGGCATTTATATCATTTGTTGAGAAAAATAACATCCCTACCTGTAGCTGTACCTGCACGCAGTCAACCCAATCCTCTGAGCAGCCATGACACAAACACGTGCCTGCGCAACAAACATCAGGGCCCAAAACCGTAGCCCTAACGCAAAATGTGGAAAAGTTGT